AGTGGCATGGCAAGTGACTGACAGACTTCCGCCTGCCCCCCGCCATCCCCCTCTCTGTGGACTTGGAGGAACGGGATGAGGGCGCTGCACCACTGCCTGCAGCCCATAACTTGAAGCCGCGATACATCCACATCTGCGATACACTCACTCGAGTGAGTGAGGGGAGGGCAGTACAGTTTTGCACCGTGGCCCTGCAGTTCAGTGCTTCACTTGCGTCCACCACCAGACCAGTTTCGGATGATGAGGACATGGCTTGCGACTGCAAGGGCTTGTGGGAGGGTTGTGAATGCCAAGGAGGGCCAATTCCCACCTTGTCATCTGTCGTTTCTGCCCTTCTCTCTTTCCAATCGATGCAGTGCAGACATCCACCTGCCTGCGCCCTCCGCCTGCCATGGACATGAGGCGTGCTCATCCATTGCCATCTTGCTATCTTGCCGCTTCTGTGCTGGTCTCTCTCCCTGCCATGCAGACATACACCTGCCTGCGCCCTCCGCCAGTAATGGATGATGAGGACATGGGGTGCGACTGCAAGGGCTCTTGGGAGTCTATGTGACAGCAATGCTTGCTCCCTATACCTGCTCACGAACTGCCCTCTCCATTGCCTCCTCTTCTTCCCACGCAGACATACACCTGCGGCCGCCACCAGTGATGGATGACGAGGACATGGGGTGTGCTGGACTGCAAGGCCTCTTGGGAGGAGTCTATGTGGCGCCTTTCCTCTCCCTATACCTGCTCACCAACTGCCCTCTTCATTGCCTCCCCCCCTTCCCATGCAGACATACACCTGCGGCCTCCGCCAGTGATGGATGACGAGGACATGGGGTGCGATTGTAAAGGGGGGAGCAACACCGCGTGTGGGGACGACTGCATGTGCCGGTGAGTCCAACACAGTCTCTTATGGGTTTCATTTCATTCATTTTCCAGTTCACTCATCTCAATTCATTTCATTGCACTTCGTCGCGCCTCGCTTCATTTAATTCCGCTTCGTTCTATTCCACTTCGGCTGGGTGTGCCTTGCCTTGTCTTGCCATGGCAGGGCGCAATACCTGAGCTGCACCAATCGCTGTGGGTGCCACGGGGGGTGCTGCAACAGGCCCTTCAGTCGCCCAAAGAGGCTTGATATCGTGCAAGTGAGTGGCAGCTCCGTTCTCTTCATCTCCTTCGTTTTCAGACATGTTCTATCCTGGGCGTTTCGGAAAATGGTGCTCTCTATGCCCCACCACCCCCTTCAACTGCGTCCCACCACTGAGTTGCATACCCCACCACCCCTTCACCATCCCAAACGTCCCAACCCCCCTCCTACACCCACTCTACCCCCCCCCACTCCCCCTCCTCGCTCTCTCCCCCCCACCTCCCCCCCTACTCCCCCGCTCTTCCGTCATCCCCCCATGCAATAAACCGCGCTTCCACTGCACGCCAGACGCAGCGCTGTGGGTGGGGAGCCATGGCAGCAGAGCCCATCAAGGCGGGCGAGTTCATTGTTGAATACGCCGGTGAAGGTGGGTTGAGAGGGGTGAAGGTGTTTTGGATGGTTTGGGAAAGATGGGTCCCACCTAGTTAAAGCATATTATGGTCCTCCAACTGTGTCAACATGCACCCACATTCCCTTGTCTTCTCAGCCTCCCTCCTCCCTCCCACACTTATGTGTGAGACGCCATTTTCTTAGGCATCTAAGAACCTTCCTGTTCTTCCTCCTCCCACAGTGATTGACGATGCGATGTGTGAGGCACGATTATGGGGCATGCGGGCAGGGGGAGCAACGGATTTCTACATGTGTGAAGTGAGCCGCGGCGTGGTTATCAACGCCACCCTGTTCTGAGCTGTCTCCGCCTTCCTCCCCCTCTCTCTTACCCCACCAGTAATTGACGATGCGATGTGCGAAGCCCGGTTGTGGGCCATGCGGGCGGGGGGAGCAACGGATTTCTACATCTGTGAAGTGAGCCGCGACGTGGTTATCGATGCCACCTTCCGTGGGGGGCACGGCCGCTTCGTCAACCACAGCTGCGCCCCTAACGCCGAGCTGCAGAAGTGGTGAGAGAGAGAGAGGGCAGACTTGTGATGAGAGAATCCAGAATACTGGTGTGATGGAGTGCCTTGAGTTCACTGGAAAGCATTGTCAACCACAGCTGCGCCCCTAACGCCGAGCTGCAGAAGTGGTGAGAGAGAGAGAGGGCAGACTTGTGGTGAGAGAATCCAGAATACTGGTGTGATGGAGTGCCTTGAGTTCACTGGAAAGCATTGTCAACCACAGCTGCGCCCCTAACGCCGAGCTGCAGAAGTGGTGAGAGAGAGAGAGGGCAGACTTGTGATGAGAGAATCCAGAATACTGGTGTGATGGAGTGCCTTGAGTTCACTGGAAAGCATTGTCAACCACAGCTGCGCTCCCAACGCCGAGCTGCAGAAGTGGTGAGAGAGAGGAGAATGGTGGAGAATACAGTAGGCAGAGTGAGATACAGAAGAGTGGTGAGAGAATTGATAAGCCCTCTGCCCTCTTGGCTTCTGCCCTCTTGGTCTCCCCTGTTCTGGCTGGTAACGGCCCATGCGAGAGTGGGCATTTTTGCCAGCCAGGACCAACCCTGCATACTGCCCACCCATCTCCAGGGCATGTGCAAGCGGGCATGTTTGCCATTTAGTAGCAACTCGGCGTACTTTCACGTCTGCGTGTTTGCACGTGTCTTCCCCATCCAGGCTAGTGGAGGGGCATGTGCGGGTGGGCATTTTTTGAGTCGACTCAAAACTAGGCATGTTTCCCGTCTCTACCTCTCCCATCCAGGCTAGTGGAGGGGCATGTGCGGGTGGGCATTTTTTGAGTCGACTCAAAACTAGGCATGTTTCCCGTCTCTACCTCTCCCATCCAGGCTAATGGAGGGGCATGTGCGGGTGGGCATTTTTTGAGTCGACTCAAAACTAGGCATGTTTCCCGTCTCTACCTCTCCCATCCAGGCTAGTGGAGGGGCATGTGCGGGTGGGCATTTTTTGAGTCGACTCAAAACTAGGCATGTTTCCCGTCTCTACCTCTCCCATCCAGGCTAGTGGAGGGGCATGTGCGGGTGGGCATTTTTTGAGTCGACTCAAAACTAGGCATGTTTCCCGTCTCTACCTCTCCCATCCAGGCTAGTGGAGGGGCATGTGCGGGTGGGCATTTTTTGAGTCGACTCAAAACTAGGCATGTTTCCCGTCTCTACCTCTCCCATCCAGGCTAGTGGAGGGGCATGTGCGGGTGGGCATTTTTTGAGTCGACTCAAAACTAGGCATGTTTCCCGTCTCTACCTCTCCCATCCAGGCTAGTGGAGGGGCATGTGCGGGTGGGCATTTTTTGAGTCGACTCAAAACTAGGCATGTTTCCCGTCTCTACCTCTCCCATCCAGGCTAGTGGAGGGGCATGTGCAGGTGGGCATTTTCGCCATCAAGGACATTGCAGTGGGCACAGAAGTGGCGTATGATTACAGGTGCTGTGATTGGGTGGGTGGGTGGGCGGGTGTCTGGGATGCTGGTATTAAAACATTAATCTGCACAAAGAAAACTGTGTGCTGTATAAGTGACAGGGTTGACTTTTTGCTCTGTAAAATGCAACTTTCTCACCTCACTTCACGACGAATACTTGTGAGAAGCCATGCTCACAGCTTCATATGGTATGTTCCCGCCTCTCATCCCGTTCCCCCTTGAGCACTGTTAGAGTGCTCGCACAGCTTTTTGGGTATCACTTTTGAGAATCCTCAGAAGTCAATGTTTACATGAGAATTTGAGAATCCTCAAAAGTCAATGTTTCCTTGAGAAGTCATTCACACCTTTTCTCACCTCTCACCCCATTCCTCCTTGAACACTCTTGCGGTGTTCACACAGATTTGTGAGCTTCGGCCTGAACAAAGCTTGCCAGTGCGGTGCAGAGCGGTGCCGAGGAGTTATCGGGGCCAACCCTCCAACCACAGCAACAGCCACTCCTGCCGCACCTGCGCCTGCCAAACCAGAGAGGCAGGCTGGGACTGTACCTAGGGCGAAGCCCTGGAATAAAGCGGCAGGGGAAGGGGCAGGGGCGAGAACAAAGGGGTTGCTTTGGGGCACAAGGGGTGCGAGATCAAGACGTATGTTGACGCATCTGTCTCCCCCCTGGTGGCAGCAGCACCAGCAGCAGTGGCTGCTACACCACCTCGTAACGTGACACAGTAACGCGATTCGTTACATTCTTTTATTAATCCATGCAAAGTTTCTAAGATTGCGACTCGGTTTGTGACACAGTACCGCGATTCGCTGCATTCTTTTAACTATCATCAGTGTTGCTGGCAGTTTCATTTTCCCACAGGACCAAAGTAAGTGTACGGTAAAATCTGCAGACTTACCATTGACCGTCTCTCGATACACTGGCTGCACGAAAAAGGTTTCCGAGCTGAGGTTTGGGTCGACTCTCTCAAATCATAGGTAGATCCAAAGAGACTGCCTCCTTTCCTCGCACCCAACTTTGTTGTGCCATTAGCTAGAAACGGCGGTCCTTTCCTTGGTGACAAGGAACCTCCTCCTCGGATTAAATAAAAGCATATAAAGGATACAACGGTGAGCAAATTAGAGCGCGAGTTAGTTAGTTCCTAGACGGATCTAGCACCTATTTGGCAGCACTACCGCCAGCCGCCCCAACACGCAAACGAGTATCTGAAATCATGCCACAGAGTTAGTTGCTTAGTTTGGAATACATTTCACGCAAGGTGAAGGTGCGTGCATTTCAGCAGCACAGCCACTGAAGGGGAAGCTACCAAGGCTGCTGCTGATGCGCTCACTCATGAATGATGCGTCATCACATCATGCTGCTTCAAACCAGGATGTTGCTGGTGCGGCTGGTGGTGGTAGTGGTGGTGGTGGTAGTGGGGATTCCCATGTTTTCACAAATGGCAATGTGTTTCAGCCGTGGTAGGCCGGCAGGCTGCCTGAATAGCAGCCCATTATTCTCCTCTCCCCTTCCCCCTCTCCCCATCCCCTCCTCCTTTCCCCCGTCCTTCAGTTCCCCAGCTCTACTTGCCCCACAGGTTCTCCAGCCATCCTCCTTTCTTCACTGACTTGGGAGGTGAGGCAGATGCGTCAGCTGCACTCATTGGTTCTTGTGCTGCTTGCGGTGGTGCTTGAGCCGCTGCTGCATCTGGACATGGGAGGCAGGGGTGGGAGGAGGGGAGAAAGAGATTTGAGATGTCTCGGAAGGGATGGGATGGGAGGACGAGGAAGAGAGAGGGACAGCCGGTGACCGCATGTCGTCCATTCGTGAGATTACTTTTGAGCAGATTGAAAAGTCACCAAGACCCTCCCTCCCATGAGCCATCACCATCCCATGATCCACCCACATGCCAACCATACTGCACCCAGCCCATCACACCACCAACATCTAGTCATCCCACTCACCCATGCCACGTTCCTCCTCCTGCGTCGCCATTCTTTGATCCTCCTCCTGCCTCTCCATGCTTCGATGCTCCTCCCCCCTCTCCATGCTCATTGTTGCCTGACTCTGCTCCTCGTCCGTCTCCCAAATCGGCCCTCCTCCCCCTCCCTTCCCTCCTCTCTCTTCTCCCACTCCTCCCTCTCCTCCGCTCTCTCCCTCTCTTTGCCCCTCACTCTGCCCACTATCACTGGGCGACCTCACAGGGGCTAGTTTCCCTGCGTAGTTCCCACTCCCACTGACCTGACTCCCCATATTCCCACTCCCCATATTCCCACTCCCCAATCTGCCGCCCACCCCGCCCCCACTTCCTAGTCTGCCGCCCAGCCCGCTCCCCCCAGCCCCATGTAACATCGCGCCGTGGTTACCACTCCCGCCATATGCACTACTGCCGTACCCATCACTCCCATAGTTCCCACTCCCCAAGGCATGCCCCTTGGCATAGTTCCCACTCCCATATGCCTCACTCCCGTAATTCCCACTCCCATACGCCTCCTCTCCCCGATAATTCCCACTCCCTTGCTCCCCCGCAAGATTACTCCTCCCCAGCCTCGCCCCATAATCCCCTCCCCCCCCCACACCACCCCCCCCATAGTTCCCACTCCCTAACCTCCCCCCGAAGCTCCCGCTCCCATAGGCCCCACTCCCAGTGGCACCAGAACTGCCGGCTAGCCTGCTAGCTGCCGGCTGAACATCCTCCTGGAAGGAAACCTGCCGGCTGCTTCGGCCAGAGGTGCGGGGAGGGAAGGCGGAAGGGCCAGTGGCGGCGCTGGTGTGGGTCTTGAGACTGGGATGCAGGGGAGGGTGCTGGGACTGCTGCTGCTGCTGCTGGTGCTGGTGTCTGTATAAGGGTGGGAGGGCGTTATGTGTGTTGAATTGATCAACATTGTCCTCCTCCTCTTCCTCTTCCTCCTCTTCCTCCTCCTCTTCCTCTTCCTCCTCTTCCTCCTCCTCTTCCTCTTCCTCCCCTTCCCCCTCGGTTCCCTCCTCCGTTTCCTCCTCTTCTTCCTCTTCCTCTTCTTCCTCCTCCTCGTCCTCCTCATCCTCCTCTTCTTCCTCCTCCTCCTCTTCCTCCTCCTCTTCCTCCTCTTCCTCCTCATCCTCCTCCTCTTCCTCTTCCTCCTCCTCCTCTTCCCCAGTTTCTTCTGTCTCGCCAGTCATTCCTGTTTCCTCTGTTTCCCCAGTACCTTCTGTTCCCTCGGTTTCCTCTTCTGTCTCCCCTTCTGTTTCTCCCTCCGTTTCTCCCTCTGTCTCTCCCTCTGTCTCTTCTGCCTCCCCAGTCACCTCCTCACTCCCTTCCTCTGTCACTTCCCCTGTTCCCTCCTCCTCCTCACTCCCCTCCTCGCTCCCTTCCTCTGTCACTTCGTCTGTCACTTCCTCTGTTCCCTCCTCCTCACTCCCCTCCTCACTCCCCTCCTCACTCCCTTCCTCTGTCACTTCTTCTGTCACTTCCTCTGTTTCCTCCTCCTCACTCCCCTCCTCACTCCCCTCCTCGCTCTCCTCCCCTTCCCCCTCACCAGTCTCACCATTCTCACCAGTTACTTCTGTCCCATGACTTCTCCAGCTCGCCCCTTGCACCCCTCCTTCCCCAATGCCTCTACTCCCTTCCTGCTCCTCCCGAGCCTCTAGCTTCGGTTCGAGGCTCAGCTCTGGAACGAGGTCCGGGCGCCCATGCCTACTGTGCCCTTCCCCCCCTCTCACTCCATCTCTCGTTCCCCCTTCAGCCTCCCTGTGTCCAGCCCCCACTCCCTCGCTCCCTTCTCGCCCCTCACCCGAACCTGCATTTCCCGAATCTGCAGCGCCTGCACCCGAACCTGCCCCCGGACCTGCTCCGCCCGCCGAACCTGTCCCACCTCTTCCGCTCCTCGACCCTGCATCGAGCCAAGAAAACCCACCATACAATGCCGGACCTGGAGCCAACTTTTGAGGCTCGGCCTTTACCCGAGGCAAAGGGGAGGATCGGTAAGGAAGGTACCCTGAGCTATGGTCACTCATATCCAAATAACTCCCCTCATACCTCCCACTGAAGCCACTCCTTTTGCTGCTCCCCCTGCCGCTGCTGCCGATACTGGCCCCGCTTGCAACACTCGCCCCATCCCCGTCCCCACCCGCCCCGTCCCCACCATTATCCTCCTCATTGTCCTCCTCATTATCCCCTTCAGTGTAACCGCTCGCACTGCTGCCGCTCCTACTCAGCCTCCCGCTGCTACCCCGATCCAGCCCTTCCAAACCTGGCGAGTTGCCTCGGGAATTGCCTTGGGAGTCGCCTTGGGAGTTGCCTTGGGAGTTGCCTTGGGAGTTGCCTTGGGAATTCCCCTGCGAGCCCCCTGAACTGCGAGGAGTGTGGGGAGTGGACGAGCCTGCAGCTTGCTGCCACTCCAGAATCCGCTGCTGTATCGCATTCAACCCCCCCGCACCGTCTGCACCATTACCAGCACCCACAGCAACACCTGCACCTGCAGCAGCAGCGGCAACACCATCCGGATCGGGCTCAACTCTACTGCTGCTGTGGCCATTCACCCCACTCCCTCCCGGCCATTCCTTAGTGTTGACCCTACTGGTATGAGGACTGGTGCGCCTGCTAGGGTGGGGACTCGCATGTCTACTAGGGTGGGGGCTGACATGTGGGCTGGCTCGCGGACTAGGCCCAACGGCCCCAACCCCTCTCTCTCCAGCGGGTCTTAGCGCTGCCTTCCAGTCAACAGTGTTTTGCCGGCTGTTGCTCTCCGGCTGACTGCTAGCCAGCGGGCCTGCCGGCCGCAGGTGCGCGCGCCAGTTCGGATCGCTCTGGTCAGTGCTCCCAGTGGCCAGCCGCGCGGAAGAGTCAATGTGTCTCAGAGGGACGGACGGGGCTTCGAGTGGCATTACCACCGCTCCTCCTCCTCCTCCTGCTCCTGCGCCTCCTGTTTCGTGTAGAGACGGCCATTCTTGGGTGTTCTGCCTGCTGCCTGGTCGGCTGCTCGGTCTGCTTCCCGCCTGCTGCTGCTTCTGGATTGAAGCGGGTGTGGGCCACTCTTGAGTGTTCTGCCTGCTGCCCTGCCTGCTCCCCTGTGGCTGCGGCTGAGCCGACTGAGGAGCCGGCCACTCTTGGGTGTTCTGCCTGCTCCCCGCTCTGCTCCCCTGTTGCTGCTGCTGGACCGACTGAGGAGCCGGCCACTCTTGGGTGTTCTGCCTACTGCCTGCTCTGCTCCCCTGCTGTTGCTGCTGCTGGACCGACTGAGGAGTGGGCCATTCATTCGTGTTCTGCCTGCTGCCTGCTCTGCTCCCCTGCTGCTGCTGCTGTACTGACTGAGGGGCAGGCCATTCGTTTGTGTTCTGCCTGCTGCCTCGCCTGCTCCCACCCCACATACCCCCGCCATCACCAGCAGCACCACCAGCTCCCATCTCGCGGTTGAAACTCCCAGCTTGCTGCATGCGAATAGCAGCAGCAGAGGCACCACCGCCTGCCGCCGCCACCACGGCTGCTGCCGCTGCAATCGCAGCATACCCCGCCTCTCTCCCTCCCCCCTCCTCTCCCTCTGTGCTGCTTCCCTCTCCCTCTGTCTCTCCCTCTGTCTCTCCCTCTGTCTCTTCCTCTGTCTCTGCCTCTTCTTGTGACGAGCCCTGTTTTCCTCCCTCCCCTGTGTCCTGCTCTCTGCTACTCTCTTCCTTCAGAGGCACCACACTTATCGATCCATCCTCCTCCTCTTCCTCCTCCTCTTCCTCCTCCTCCTCCTCCTCTTCCTCTTCCTCCTCCTCTTCCTCCTCCTCTTCCTCCTTCTCTTCCTCCTCCTCCTCCTCCTCCTCCTCCTCCTCCTCCTCCTCCTCCTCCTCCTCCTCCTCCTCCTCCTCCTCCTCCTCCTCTTCTTCCTCCTCTGTCACTTCCTCCTCTTCCTCCCCTTCACCTTCTGTTCCCTCCTCTGTTTCTTCCTCTTCCTCCTCTTCCTCCCCTTCCCCCTCCGTTTCCTCCTCTGTTTCTTCCTCTTCCTCCTCTTCCTCCCCTTCCCCCTCCGTTCCCTCCTCTGTTTCTTCCTCTTCCTCCTCCTCCTCTTCTCCCCCTTCCCCCTCTGTTCCCTCCTCTGTTTCTTCCTCCTCCTCCTCCTCTTCCTCCCCTTCCCCCTCTGTTCCCTCCTCTGTTTCTTCCTCTTCCTCTTCCTCCTCTTCCTCCCCTTCCCCCTCTGTTCCCTCCTCTGTTTCCTCCTCCTCCTCCTCCTCCTCCCCCTCTTCCTCCTCTCCCTCCGTCTCCCCCTCCGTCTCTCCCTCGCCCTCTCCCGCCCCACCCGCCCCAGCACCTGGAACGCCATCATAACTCCCCTCACTCTCCGTCTCCCCTTCTGTCTCCGTTACCATCTGCCCCACTTCATCATATAAGGCAAGCTGGGATTCAGTCATAGAAGTCACATCATCATCAATCGTTTGCTCCTCGCCTATAGTGTGAACTGTCACCTCCCCCTCCCCCCCTTCCTCCTCCTCTCCATAGAATGACCCTCCCTGATCTCCTTCCGTCCCTTCTTCCTCCTCTTCCTCCTCCTCTTCCTCCTCCTCTTCCTCCTCTTCTTCCTCCTCTTCCTCCCCCTCCCCTGTTCCCTCAGTCTCTTCTGTCTCCTCAGTCTCTTCAGTCACCTCTTCCCCTGTCACCTCCTCTTCAGTCACCTCTTCCTCTTCCTCCTCCTCATAGTCCTCACTTGCTCCTGTCCCTTCAGTCACCTCTTCCCCTGTCACTTCTTCTGTCACCTCCGTTCCTTCCTCTCCTGTCACCTCTTCAGTCACCTCCTCTTCAGTCACCTCCGTTCCCTCCTCCGTCATCTCTTCAGTCCCCTCCTCCTCCTCCTCTTCCTCCTCTTCCTCCTCCTCTTCCTCCTCCTCGTCCTCCTCCTCTTCCTCCTCCTCCTCATATTCCTCCTCTTCTGTCTCTTGAGTCACTTCCTCCTCTGTTCCCTCCATTGTCTCTTCCTCCTCTTCATCTCCTTCCTCCTCATACTCCTCACTTGCTCCTGTCTCTTCAGTCCCCTCTTCTTCCTCCTCTTCCGTTTCCTCCTCATATTCCTCAGTCATTTCCGTTGCCTCAGTCCCCTCCTCCTCCCCTTCCTCATCCTCCTCCTCTTCAACCTCCCCTTCTCCTTCCTCCTCATAATCCTCTGTCACTTCAGTGACTTCTGTCCCCTCCTCTCCTTCGTCGTCCTCCTCCTCCTCCCCTTCTCCCTCCTCCTCATAATCCTCTGTCACTTCTGTGACTTCTGTCCCCTCGTCCTCCTCCTCTTCCTCTTCCTCTTCCTCCTCCTCCTCTTCCTCCTCCTCGTCCTCCTCCTCCTCCTCCTCCTCCTCTTCCTCCTCCTCCTCCTCTTCCTCCTCATAAATGTTTGCCGTTTCTTCAGTCCCTGTAACCTCCTCAGTCCCTGTAACTTCCTCTGTCCCTGTTACCTCCTCCGTCCCTGTCACTTCTTCTGTCCCTGTCACTTCTTCTGTCCCTGTAACCTCCTCTGTCCCAGTTACCTCCTCCGTAACTTCTTCTGTACCCTCCTCTGTCTCTGTATACTCCTCCTCTTCCTCATCATCTTCCTCTTCCTCTTCCTCCTCCTCGTCCTCCTCCTCGTCCTCCTCCTCATCATCCTCCTCATCTTCTTCCTCATCCTCCTCTTCGTCTTCCTCATCCTCCTCATCTTCTTCGTCCTCCTCCTCGTCATCCTCATCCTCCTCCTCATCCTCATCCTCATCCTCATCCTCATCCTCTTCTTCTTCCTCCTCCTCCTCCTCCTCTTCACCCTCCTCCTCAATAACCTCAGCAGTCACAACACCGCTATTCCCCTCACCATCCCCCCATCCCGCGCCGCCATAAACACCAGAAGCAGACGACGAAACCACCGCAGCCGAAACAGCAGACCCAGACGACAACCCTTCATCAAAACTCACCTCCTTCCTCCTCCTACCCGCACCCGCCGCAGCAACACCCATCTGCTGCTGCTGCTGCTGCTGCTGCCACTGCTGCTGTTGCTGCATCTGACCACTCGTTTGCTCTCCTGACGTCAACACTTCACCTACAGGCACCTCCTCTTCCTCCTCCTCCTCCTCCTCCTCCTCCTCACTCGATGCAAACGACCACTCTCTCTCACTCCCCTCCCTCTCCCCTTCCCCCCCTCTGCTTCTCCCTCCTTGCTGTCTCAAACCACCTCCTGCCTGCTCCTCCTGCTTCCGCCTCTCCTCCTCCTCCTGTCGCTGCTGCTGCTGCCGTTGCCTTGCCATCTCAACAGCAGCCGCAGCTGATATAGACGAAGCCATGATTGCACTAGTCAAAGCATCATTCGCCCCCATGTCTCTCTCCCCTCTCTCCCCTCCATCCGCAACCCCCATCATCCTATCCCCGCTAGGAGTCACACTCCTCTCAGCACTTAACAAAGTGTCAGTATTTCTCGACTCAAACTCTGATTCGTCCGGGCTCGACCAATCAGCAGAGCTCCGGGATGCAGTGGTGCTAGCACTGGTCGGCCGGCCCCGAGCCAAGGACGCAGGCGTGCCTGCCGAACCTGCTGCTCCCGGACCTAGCGGCGGCCGGCGCGATCCCCAACCACTTGCCGAACCTACCCCTCCTGCTGCTCCTGCCGCTCCTGCCACCCCTGCTGCCCCTGCTGCAGCAGCAGCAGCGCTAGCAGAAGCACCGGCTCCATCACCCTCCTCCTCACCGCCACCACCCCCTTCACTATCATATGCTGTTGCATATGACTCATCTCTCCCAAACCTCACACTCCTCCCCCCTTCAGGTGCCGTGGCCCAAGACTCGTCCCTCTCAAACCCCATGCTCCTCCCCTCTTCCGCCGCTTCTCCCCCACCCCCACGGCCGCTGCCACTGGCTAAAGCAGCACCAGCAGCGGCATCAGCAGCCGCACCAGCAGGAATCGGCCGCAGGGGAAAGGAGGGCGCTTCGGAGGACGCAGGGAAGGCAGCGGGGGGAGCGGGCGCGGGTGTGGGTCGGAGGGGGAAGGAGGGGGAGGCGGAAGGGCCAGCGGGAGGGGGAGGGGCGGTAGGGGGAAAGGCGGAGAGGCGGGGGTCAGCAGGTGGGGGAGGGAGAGGGGATGGACCCATGGGTCCTCCTGGCAAAGAGTCTCCCTTGCTATCAACATCCTTGCTGTTGTCTCTCCAGCTGCCACCGCTGCTGCTGCTGGGTCCTCCTACCCCTCCTGGCCCCCCTGTACCGTGCACAACCACTTGTATCCGCCCTGATGGGGATGCTGGTGGTGATGGTTCCTTCTTCTCACCCTGCTGCTGCTTCTCCTCCTCCTGCTGCGTCGGCTGCTTCTGCCCCCATCGGAATGGCATGAGCGCAAATGCACCCACAGCTGCGGCTGCTGCTGCAAATCCCTCAGCCACACTCATCCCTCCCGCCCCTGCCGCTCCTCCTCCTGCTTCTGCTGCTCCTGCTGTGCCTGCTCCTTCCGCTGCTCCTGCTGCTATGGCAGGTGGTGGGGTCAACGCTGCTGAAGTGGAAGCAGCAGCACCACTGGTACCAGCACCACCTACTGCTGCTCCTGCTGCTCCTCCAACTGCTGCTCCTCCTGCTGCCGCTGCTCCTGCTGCTCCTGCCGCTCCTGCTGCTACCCCTCCTGCTGCCCCTGATTGCACAGCACCACTATCCCCGCTATAAGCCTCTGCCTCTACAACATCCTCCTCCTCACTCCTCTCATCCTCACTCTCCTCCTCCTCTCCTTCCCCTTCAGACCCAATCTCAACTATCGTCTCGTGCATCACTGGTCTGCTTCTCAACCCCATCCCTCCTCCCGCTGCTGCGGCTGCTGCTGCTCCAGCCGCTGCCCCCACTGCTGCCCCCGCTACCACACCAGCAGCAGCGGCACCAGCAGGGGAATCAGCGGCAGGGGTGGCGGGAGTGGGTGGTGGAGGGGGGGGCTGCGGCGGAGTCTGTTGGAAGGGGATTAAGGGAGGTAGGGGAGAGGAGATGAGATGTGAATGAGCTTGAGAATGAGAATGGCACAAGCATTTAGCTGAGTGACTTGCTTTACACGGCCGATATCGTCATACTGCCTGCCTGTAACTCAATCCTCCTGCTTCTTGAGACGCCCGAAAACCTGTATTTGTCAGAAACATGTCTGTAACTCACCCGTCCACTGCTTGTAACTCACCCGTCCACAGCTTGTAACTCATCCGTCCAAGTTTTCTCCTCTGGTCGTCTGACTCCGTATCAACATCATCCAATGTTGGCAACGCCATCGGCACTTCATCCCACTCCTCCGCCTGCCGTCGTTTGAGTCGCCTAAAAAACCACACGTGTGTAACTCACCCGTCCAACGTTCCTCCTCTGGTCGTCTGACTCCGTATCAACATCATCAGAAGACATTGGCAGTGCCATCGGCACATCATCCGACTCCTCTGCCATTGTTGAGTCGACTCAAAACCACATGAGTGTAACTCACCCGTCCAAGTCCTTAAACTCACCCGTCCGAGGTTCCTCCTCTGGTCGTCTGACTCAGTATCAACATCATCAGAAGACGTTGGCAGTGCCATCGGCACATCATCCGACTCCTCTGCCATTGTTGAGTCGACTCAAAACCACATGAGTGTAACTCACCCGTCCAAGACCTTAAACTCACCCGTCCGAGGTTCCTCCTCTGGTCGTCTGACTCCGTATCAACATCATCAGAAGACGTTGGCAGTGCCATCGGCACTTCGTCCGACTCCTCTGCCGTCTCCTCCCCTCCTCTCCCACTCCCTCCTCTCCCACTCCCTCCTCTCCCTCCTCTCCCACTCCCTCCTCTCCCTCCCCTCCCCACCTTCTCACTACTCTCCTCCTCCCGAGTGCTGTACCCCTCCCCCTCCTCCCCAACCTCCACACTCGTATACTCCTGACTCTCCCCCACAGGCAGCGCCATCACCACCTCATCCCCGCTCTCTCCGATCGCTCCACTCTCTCCTATCGCCCCACTCTCCGTTTTCCTCCCGCTCTCCCCCCCACCAGTGCTGGCACCAGCAGGCGTGGAGGGACCAGCACCAGCAGCAGCAGCGGCCCGGTCAGCTGCCTGCTCGATTCGGCGCCGCAGGGGAGAGTCGCTGCCGCCGCTGACGGGCTTGGAGCGACTCGAGTCGTACTGGCCAGACCTGGAAGGGTGGGGAGAGAAAAAAGGCAAAAGGGAAGTGGAGGGGAAGGGTTAAGTGAGGGGAGAGTCGCTGCCGCCGCTGACAGGCTTGGAGCGACTCGAGTCGTACTGGCCAGACCTGGAACGGAGAGGAGAGAGAAGGGGAGGGAGAGGGGAAGGGTTTGAAGAGGAAGGAAGAAAAGAAGTGGAAGTGTTGGGAGAGTTGCTGCTGCTGATGGGCTTGGAGCGACTTGAGTCGTATTGGCTTGGGAAGCCAGGAAGAAGTGACTTGGGCGGCAGGGAGGAACTGATCTGGGCGGCAGGGAGGAACTGACCTGGGCGGCATGGCGCCGAATCCAGCCATGTGCATGCGCGTGTTGGAGTCCATGTCCTCTGAATACAGCTATGAGGCGCCTCACAAGGAGGAGGAACTGACCTAGGGGGCATGGCGCCGAATCCAGCCATGTGCATTCTGGTGTTGGAGTCCATGTCCTCTGAATACAGCGCCGCACTCTCCTCCTCTTCTTCCTCTTCATCCCTCTCCTCCGTCTGCTCGCCTGTTTCCCCCGCAGCCCCCCCTGCTTCTCGGGATGAGAAGGAGGCAGAGGTAGGCTGGGCTCCTGCTCCTGCTCCTGCTGCTGCGCCAGCAACGGCAGCACCACCCGCTGCTGCTGCTGCTGCTGCTGCTGCTGCTGCTGCTGTGCCGACGGCTATGGCTGCGGCACCAGCAGCAGCGCCACCAGCAGCAGCAGCAGCACCGGCAGAAGCAGCGGGAGGAGCAGCAGGAGCAGCACTCCCAGTGTCGAGGGCAGAGGCGGTGGTGTCGGGGAATTCGAGGGAGGGCGGGTTGGCGAGGGGGTTGGTGATGTAGATGCGAGGGGAGGAGCCCGCTGAGCCGCCGTGCTTCATGCAGTAGGGATCCGCACAGCTGGAGCCTCTGTGGGGGGGGGAAGAAGTGGGGGCAGGGAGATCAAGCGGTGGCGGCAACTCAAAGAATAGGGGGGAGAATAGGCTATCCCAGCACCGCTTTCCCCTGCCTCGCTTTCTCCCACTCTCTTGCACAGCCTCCCAGTTTACCTGTCACCCCATCCCCTCACGCGCGCACACACACTCACCCGCACAGCAGCCCGCGTCGCAAGCTGCTCTCCTCCTCGTCTTCCTGGTTGTTGAGGTATCGGTCCAGCAGCAGGCTGACGGGATATGCCACCGGCGACAGCAGCAGCAGCAGCAGTAGCAGCAGCAGCAGACGGGCGAGCCACGCTGTGGCAGAGGCGATGCGCAGGGAGTGGCGCGCACAGATGGCGGGGGGAGCGAGTGGCTCCCATCCCCTCTCCCTCCCCCCTTCCCTCTCCCTCTCACTCTCCCACACACACAAGGACACTCACCCACACAGCAGCCCGCGTCGCAAGCTGCTCTCCTCCTCGTCTTCCTGGTTGTTGAGGTATCGGTCCAGCAGCAGGCTGACGGGATATGCCACCGGCGACAGCAGCAGCAGCAGCAGGCGGGCGAGCCATGCGGTGGCGGAGGCGATACGGAGGGAGTGTGGCTGACTCTCCTTTTCCCTCTCCTTTTCCCTCTCCCTCTCCATCTCCCACTCTTCCCACACACAAAAGCACACTCACCCGCACAGGAGCCCACGTCGCAAGCTGCTCTCCTCTTCGTCCTCCTGGTTGTTGAGGCACCGGTCCAGCAGCAGGCTGACGGGGTAAGCCACGGGCGAGAGCAGCAGCAGCAGCAGGCGGGCGAGCCATGCGGTGGCGGAGGCGATGCGGAGGGAGTGGCGCGCACAGATGGCCGGGGGAGCGATTTCGACGAAGAGCAGAATGAGGAGCACACAGAGGATGAATCCCATCAGCATGCCCAACACGCCTGGGAGAGCGGGGTGGAAAGCGGTGGAGAGTGGTGGAACACGGTGAGGAGCAGGATGAGGAGCACACAGAGGATGAAGCCCATGACCATGCCCAACACGCCTGGGGAGGTGGGGTGGGGGTTGGTAGGGAGTGGTGGAATGGGGTTGAGATTCCACGCAAGAGTGGTTTCAGCGAAGAGCAGGATGAGGAGCACGCAGAGGATGAACCCCATCACCATGTCCAACACGCCTGGGAGGAGCAGCGGGTGGAGAGCAGTGGGGAGTGGCGTAACGGGTGGGATGAATGCGAGGAGTGGTTTCAGCGAAGAGCAGGATGAGCAGCACGCAGAGGACAAACCCCATCACCATGCCCAACACGCCTGGGAGGAAAAACAGGAGGAGAATGGAGCAGGGAGGAGGGGTTGAGGCAGGTGGGGGAGGAGACTGCGGTAGGGAGTGGTGGAATGGGGTCAGCTGCATCAGAATAGTTTTTTTTTTCTATACAAGAGGAGGATGAGCAGCATACAGAGGTCAAAGCCCTTCACTGCACTACACTCGAACCCACCTGACCTCACCTGACCCCACCTGACCCCACCTGAGCCCACCTGAGCCCCACCTTGAGCCCACCTGAACCCACCTGACCCCACCAAAGTCCCACCTGAGACGAAGAGCGTGAAGCTGACGTTGACGCTGGTGCTGGCGACCAATAGCGTGGTGAGCAGCAGACTGCCACGTGTGCGCAGCGCTGCCACCTTGGCAGCCTGCCACCTCAGCCGCTCGTCCACTCCATCCATTGCCGCCTGCTCCCGGGGGGAGGTGGGGGGTGGGGGGTGGGGGTAAGGGGGAGGGGGGAGGTGGGGGGGAGGAGGGTGGGAGGTGGGTGGGTTTGTTCCTTTTGAGTCGACTCAGCCGCGTCCTCAGCCGCTCGTCCACGCCATCCATTGCCGCCTGCTCCAGAGGAAAGGGGGGGGGGTTGGTTGAGGTGGGTGGGGGGAGGTGGGGGGAGGTGGATGGGGGGCGGGGAGAGGGGAGTGAGGTGGGTGGGGAGTGTCTTTTGAGTCGACTCAGCAGTCACCCCAAGCCTCTCGTCCACGCCATCCATTGCTGCCTGCTCGAGGCGGGGGTGGGGAGAGAGGGGCGGGGGTGGGGAGAGTGGGGCGGAGTTGGGGAAAGTGGACGGGGAAGGGAGTGGGGGAAGTTGGGGAAGCGGGAGGGGGGGGGGGTTGAGGAGTAAATTTAGATATAAGGTGCCTCAATAGCGCCACGCATGCCCGTCTGCTCGAGAGGGGGAGTGGGGGAGGTGGAAGGTATATTTTTTAGACGACTCAAAAATAGGAAACTTGGCTATGAGGCGCCTCAGAAAAAACAAAGTTGGTTTTGAGGCGCCTCAGTAATTAAAAAAAAGTCTGCTCGAGAGGGGGATGGGGGAGGTGGGACGTAAGCTGAAGGAGGTGGGGAGGGTGTTGGGGAAAGGGAAGGGGGAGGAAAGCGCGGTGTTGTCTGGAGAGTCCGAGCGTGGACGACATCATGCAGGAGAGTGGGATGGCAGGGAGAGGGGCAGTACTGTGTAACAGCACTGGTTACCAGCAGCACTGGTGTTACCTGCAGCGTATGTCAAGGCCCAGAGTACACGACATTATGCAGGAGATAACCAGAGACATGCCCAGCAGGCAGCACGCGGAGAGGCGGAAGGGTGGGGGGGGAGGGGGGGAGAAAAGGGGAAATGGGGGAGAAGGGGGGAAATGGGGGAGACGGGGGGGAAACGGGGGACAGTACCGTGGAACAGTACTGGATATCAGCAGCGGGGGTTACCTGCAGAGTCGCCATGTCAAGCCCAAGGGTAGAAGACATCATGCAGGAGATCACGAGCGACATGCCCAGCAGGCAGGCAGCACGCGGAGAGGAAGGTGAGTGGGGGGGTAGGGGGAACTGGGGGTCGGGGGCGGGGGGAGGGGGGGGGGGGGTCTGGTTACCAGTAGCGGGGGTTACCTGCAACGTGGCCATATCGAGTCCGAGAGTAGACGACATCATGCAGGAGATAACAAGCGACATGGCCAGCAGGCAGCAAGCGGAGATGGGGAACGCGATGAGCTCAGCGGTGGAGAGCGGTGGGAGCCAGCCGGAGTCGGTGTAGCAGGTGTCGTAGCAGTCGATGGTGGGGCCGTCGCACGCGTTCAGACACGCCACGATGCCGTTGCTCGGCGCGCACGCCCCCAGCCGCGCCAACGGCGCCCAGCAACTCATACTGCCGCTGCCGCTAATGCTGCTGTAAGCACTACTTTCTCCTGCTGCTGCTGCTGCTGCTGCTGCTGCTGCTGCTGCTGCTGCTGCTGCTGCTGCTGCTGCTGCTCCTGCTGCTGTTGCTCCTGCACTAACAGTCGGCTACGTTCGCTATGCCCTCCCTTGCTCCCACCGCTGCGCCCTAGTCCCTCTGCCTTCCCTCCCAACCCTTCCTCTCGTCGAGCCGCGCTGCGCGATTCGCAACACAAGTTCAACTTTCGCGACCCTCTTTCGTTGTTCCCGGCTCTCAGCCTCGTCGTCTTACTTTCGCAACCCTCTTTCGCTCTCGTTGCTCTACTCCCTGTGCGACCCTGTGCGATCACTGCAGCCTGTCCCCCTGTGCGATCGCTCGCTGCCGGTCCTTCTAGTCGCACAAGAGCTCAGCTTCTTATCGCCAGCCCCTTCTCCACCGCAGTCGCGAGAGACGCAGTCTCGTTATAAAAGCTAGTAAGGCCTGGTCGCAAAATGTATCCGCGTTATTGGGATTAAGAGCCTAAACGTATTCCGTGAGTAGTCGTTAGTGCATCACCCAGCAGAACCTGTCAACGTAATCCGTCACTATTAATGACGCGCTTCCTAATCTCATTTTGTCGTATTCCGTTTTTATCCCCGTCGTTCTCCTCGTCCTCTGCAAGCTCTTCCGCCATTCCCGGGGCATACGGCGCCGAAGTCGCGGCGTCACGAGTCTACCCAGCGCTGCTGATTGGTTGAGGAAAAACCGTATCTGATCCTCGGCCAGATTCTACTAGCGGTCTGACAGACGCCGGCCTGAAGCATGCCGGTTTCTCTCGCGCGACACTGTTTCGAGCTAATTCGCGTTTTCCCTTGGACTACGCTCAATATAGCGTACGGTTGTGAGCGTTGCGAGTAGCGAAAAAATGTCAACCCTCTCAATTGAGGAATGTGCTAATTTTATGAAAGATATGCGGAGCCTAGACTGCGCACGGAGCACCCGTCAGAAGGCGACTATGGTTTGCAGCTGAAATAGCAGAATAAAACCGTCGCATTTGTTCGTAGTTAGCGTCACCATTCGTCAAGGTATCGTCTTCGCGAAGCAGTTGATTTACGCGCCTAAAATAAGCCCTCGTTACGTCGCTACCTGGCTCAGAAGCAGGGGGGTGAATAACTAGCAAAAGTCTAACCTACTGCTGGGCCCGTCAGTATTGGCTGTCGCCCTTGGGTATACCGCGCCGTAATTGAGCGCAAAGCGCGTTATTCCAAAGGTGGGTGGGAGGTGGGGAGGAGGATGGATGATAGCTGGAGAGGGATGAGGGGGCGGGGGTGGGTGGCGCCAAGGGGGGTACGAGGGAACTAGGTTGACCACTGACGGCAACCGAAGTCGCGTAAACCGGGTACAAGAAGCCAACGTGCTTCGAATGTTGCCGAACCAGACAGATGCCCACGTTGACTTGCGGTACGGAAAACAGCTGGACCCTTGGCTTTGGTTGGCTCCAGCAAACCTCAAAATCCAAAGCATATTTGCCCTAACCGGAACTGCAGAATGGCTAGTACAGACCAGAAGTCGTGGTTTGGAGATTCAGGGTTTAGGAAATCAAGGCTTGGCTGGGATGAGGAGGTTCGGCATTGTACACGAGGCTCGCGCCGTGTGCGAAATGCATTTCTCGTGGTTTGATCGTGCCGTCGCTGGGCACGCAAGTCGTCGTCAAGTGCCCCGCGAGTGCACTTGCTTGAGCCTGATAGGACAGCGGAGCGTGACGATATACTGGCGCCACGTCAGCCCTAACTTTGATTAAGGGCGGGTCCAGCGCATACGTTTACAGGTACTATACAGTTCATTCGTCGTGGTTTGAAACGATATCAGGCGGTGCACAGCGGTTTTAAAATTGCACCGTTTTGAACCTTGACGCGTTACATATTTTTTTTTTTTTTAATTGTAGTATACATTAATGAAGAGAATGCATACAACAAAAGCAGTCGTAACTGAGCGTGAGGGCCTGCACCATGCACTGCCCAACGAGGTGACTAGGGCGGATAAAAAACCCTCCTTGGCTTGTTCCAAATTGCATCAAAACTGACCGACCACTTCCATTTCTTGTCGCCAACCTCCCTGATCCTCATCAGCATTTTTTGTTCAGCCTCAAACACCCCTCTGACCCTCTTATGCGCCCCCGACGTGCCCGGCCTCAAGCACTTGGCCCCCATTGCCCTCGTGTACACCCTTGCATGCAGTCGGAAAGCCGTACCAATCCTCCTGAGCACCCGCCGGGCCTTGAATTTCTGCCCCCGAAAACTGGCTTCGCATCGCTCCACCCACAGCTGATGGAAGGTAATGGCAGTTAACGTGGCTTCTGGGAAGTCTGACTCAGTGCCAGATTCCTGGAACAGGAGGTCACCCAACGAGGCAGGCGCCCGCCCAGGATTGAGCATGCGCAAAGCTCGCATGAGGCCAGAAACCACAGGTTGAATCCGCGGGCAGCTGAAAAGACAGTGCTCCTGGGACTCTGTGGCTCCGCAGTAAGGGCACGAAGGCTTGCTGCTGAGAAAATCCACCCTCTCCCCAACCTGAAGGTTTAGGTTGTGCACACGCGTGAGAACGTCACGTGGATGGCTCGGGATGGCTAGAGAATTGCGGGTGCAGATGATGCGTCCCCAATCAATCTTGCCACTCCACTTTCCAGTCCACTTCTCCTGCTTAGTCCGGACAGCATCAGGCTTGGACCACGACCCACGCAGCTGCTTAAAGCTCAAGGCCCAAATTGTTCAACCTTACTAAGGTTGCCCTTTGGGTGGCGGTAGAGGAAGGTTGACCTTGTTGAAGTTGGGCTGTTCAGTTTCGCCCAGCTTCTCGCTACACCCTTAGGGTTTTCGCTGACTAAGCAAACCCCTGGGAGCAACTCGATTTGGTTCTCGAGTCCCAAATTGCACTCACAATATTCTTGGTGTTTCCTTCTCTCCTATTCGACAAAAAAACTGTTGGCCAATCAAATTGAATCGCACTTCACGTAACCACAATTCGCAGCCAAACAACACTCAAAACACCACTCTCATCAACTTTAGTAAGCTTGCCCCGCGCGCTCTGCAATTTGGGCCTTGAGCTTTAAGCGGAGCCAGCTGCCCGTTTGTAAAAACCGCCGAACGGAAGACCGACGCCGCTGCATGTTCACCCCCTCCGAACACTTGTTCCTCTCCCCCATCTCGTTCCTGCATCGTGCCAGGGACCAGTAGGGTTTTCCACTCCGACGAGGCTGCAGCAAAAGCCTTGAGAGCCAGCCGAGCCGAATCTCTGCTCCTCAGCTCTTTCTCCAAGGTGTCAACGTCCTTAATCTCCGCTACTCCAGCTTGAGAGGTGGATACCAGATCCCCCAGCCGCGCCTCCCAAAGCCCCTTCGCCTCCTTCTGTCCCCCAATAGGGTTCGTTCCGTTCAGGAGCAGCTTCCGGTTGAAAACGATCCTTTCCTGAGCGACCTCTTCTTTGCTGTCCGATTTCCCGGTATCAGCGATTGGCGACTTTATAAAAGCTTCGCACACCTGCCTCCAGCGCTCACCGTCCCCTGGCCAGTGCTTCAGCAGCCTCTCGTGGGCCAGGAAAGTGTCCTCACCGAGTGGGAGATTCGCCGCCTTAAGCATGATCTCTTTTTTCTTACCATTCTGCTCCAGCAATAGCCCCCCGATCCTCCGCGCAGCCAGACAGGCAAGTAGAATCTCTGGGTCCAACACTCCCAAACCGCCATCAGCTTTAGGCGAGGTAAGAAGACCCCAGTTCCAGAGCACGAAGCCCTTTTCCGCCGATGCGTTGTTCCCTGTCAGGAAATTGTGGATCAGCTTCAACAACTGCTTCCAAATGTCATCTGGAGGCAGGTACACTTACGCCTGATATGCTATCCGTGGAGTAATGTAACAATTGATTATCACCACCCTCGCCGCAATCGTGAGAAAAAGGGCCTTCCATTTAATCAGCTCCACTATATTTTTTTCGAAAGCCCTCTTCCAGGTCGGGCCGCTGCTGCCGGAGGGAGTGACCCAGACGCCCAGAACCCGCTCTACTTCATCCGCCATGGCCCATTTGAAACCGCCAAGCGTACCAGGCCTTCTCCCCAGATTGTGACCAATCGGCAGGATGACCGACTTGTCTTCGTTCGTCTTCAACCCCGACAAGCCAGCGAAATACTCCAGGAGCTTCTCCGCTTTAGCAATTTGCCTCTTCCCCTCCAGAAATAAGGTTGTGTCATCAGCGTATCCGACATATACTAATCGTTGATTGGCCTTATTGCAGAGCCCCAGTTTCCGCCGCATAGCTTTCTGAGCCAGGGGTTCCACCGCGCAGAGGAAAAGGTAAGGGGCGAGCGGACACCCTTGCCTCACCCCCGAGTTGACTGCCACCGCTTCTCCCAGCCAGCCATTAATCAGTAGCCTTGTTGTTGTGTCCTTGCGCAGGCCCTCGACCCAGCCGACGAATCTGCTCGGGAAGCCCATCTCCCTAAGAACCGAGAAGAGGAAACTTCGCGAGACCGAGTCGAAGGCCTTGCGAAAGTCCAACAACAGCATGTACCAGTCCTCACTCCCTTTCTTCGCCGCTTCTATGACGTCCGCCACCACTCCAATGGCATCCGAAATTCTCCTCCCTAGTATGAACCCGTACTGCTCCGCCGAGATCACCTTGTGTAGGAGCGGCTTCATCCGGTTCGCCACCACCCGCGCCAGTACCTTGTAAGAGAAGTTAAGGAGTGTGATCGGACGGTAATTGTCCAGATCATCCTTATCGCCTTTTTTATGGAGGAAAATAGTGACAGCTTCCTTGATGCTTGCAGGGAGCGACGCATTCTCGGAGAAAGTATGCGCCATTCGCAGGAATTCACCACCGAGGACGTCCCAATTCCTTACAAAGAGCTCTTTCGAGAGACCGTCCTTCCCAGGAGATTTCCCATTTGGGAGAGCTTTAAACGCCTGCTGCACCTCTGCCTCCGTCCAGTCTGTCTCCAGTGTGTGCACAGCATCGGCGTCCA